ATATATATATATATATATATATATATATATATATATATGACTAGGACCAAAAGTAACTATAATTTTGGTTAAATCAAACATTTCGTTCTCTCAGTGCGCTAAGAATAATTCAGACATTGTTTCTTGCTATTTATCTTTAAAGTTTTTTGTACTATATTCGATATTCTTTTTAGATCGTGTCCTTCGCTCTGGTTGCCTTCGTGGCGGCTCAACAGTATCATGTGCAGCCGCCTATAGCCATTCTAAAACAGGCACAGGACATCTCGCCCGAGGGAACTTACAACTACCAGTACGAGACCGAGAACGGCATCGCGGTGGCCGAGTCGGGCGCGCCACAACCCGTAGGACCCAAGGGTGAGCCTGCGGTGGTCGCTCAGGGTCAATACCAGTACACTGCCCCCGACGGCACCCCCATCGCCTTGAGCTACGTCGCCGACGAGAACGGTTTCCGTCCTCAGGGCGCTCACCTGCCGGTCGCTCCCGCCGTCCCCGAGCAGATCCAAAGGGCCGTTGCATACGTGCTGGCTCACCCACAACCCGAGAACCAGCAATAGACGACAAATAGCGATATTTCATGGACAATGCGAATACCTCTCGAGCCACGTGTATAAATATGATACATGTATAAGCATAAATATAGGTTTCTTAAGATAAATACAAGTGTTTCTTAGAAAACGGAAAGAGGAGACAATTTGTCGGCTGTATCATCCTTTAGTCACACTGAGAGAGAAATACTTGAAAATTTATTAGTGGGATACAACATTTATTCGCAGGAATAAATTTTACTTGACAATAGTAGACTTTATATCCTACAAAATAAAGTTTCAAGCACCTTTTCTCAGTGCATCCGCGCGATAACGAGGCGACGGGACTGCACTTCGTTGCTCAGGACTAGAAGAGTAGGTACTAAAAAGGTACGTTTAAAATTTGTGTACTTATCTGGCAATTATTTCACATTTTTGTAAAGATGAGACATACAAAGTAGCTTTGCGATAACTCGAAGTCGACAAAGTGCATTTACACGTTAGACAATTGACTTCGAGCGACTCTCGTGACCGGAAGAGTCTAAAGGAGTCACACGGTTCTAATTCGTTTTCGCACGTCGGGCTTTGTCGCGTTCAATGTGGCGCTGCTTTTTACAATTCTTCTTTTTTACAACTCCTACCTTTTTAGATCGTACGTGGCGGCGCGCTACGTTTCGTAAATTCCGTAGAGACGACGCGCCTAGATATTTTACGGCGAATATCATCTTGTAGGCGCGCATCAGACACATTTTTGTGAGAGGCCCTGGCATTTATTTATTTTTGCGCAACCGACGATGTAACCACGATGTTACACGCTGCCGCCGACGATTTGGCAATTTGTCGACGATACTGATGCGACAAGCGTATGGCCCAAGTTTCTATTTATGGAGGGGTAGCCGGTAGAAATAGCTGCGGATGCTGCGACCAGGTGAAAGACGCGACCTTCTCCGTGCTGTTCACGCTTGAAACAAAATGTCGCTCCGGCGACGCGCCGTTACGCGTTATTTTCGATCGCTATAAACTCAAATGAAGCGTCTTCGGGGAATCGACGCCGCATCTCGAGACGCGATTTCCTCGAGATTGAGGCGGAGAAACGGGAGAGATCCTCCGAGCGCGAAGGAGAAGCCGTAGGCGGCTGTGATAAATATTAATATCGGTGGGAGATGATTATACGACGAAATTCATTACCGCCAGAAATCGCTATCAAGGCTGGAGTATTCTGCGCTCTATGAATTATCTCGCGATTATGTAGCTCTTGTTACGCGACCGGTCCGGCGAGCTACAAATAGAAACCTATATCGCGGGATCCTATATCGCGTGTTTCGTTGGAAGTCTTCAGTGTTTAAGAATATTCCGGAAGAGCAAATTGCAGACTATGATAATGCTCATTAAGGGGAATAAATAACGATGGAGAAAAGTGAAATCGAGTAAAAATATCAGAGAGGTAAAATTAGTAGGATCTCATGCCGTAACAGACGTTTACCTGTAGCGATTTCTGTACAGAAAAATCATTTTTGTTTGGAAAATATCTGATGTATTAACCTTGAAATGAGATTATATAGCGTTAAACGAAAATGTGTTACACAAAAATATATTTATATTTTATATAATTTCAAATAGAGAAAAATCTATATTCTTATTATCCAAAAATAATTTTTATTAATAGAAAGCATGTATTAGATATGCAAAATATTGGATTAGCAAAATATGATATTTTTAAATGTTTGTTGTGCCACAGGTTCTCCTATTCATTTAAAGATATGCTGAAAAAAGCAATGGTTAATTTAACTAATAATATAGTTACTTTTATCCCCAACTATATTTTTGGGGTAAAATGGTACATGCATATAATGATATTATCAATAACATTATAGCAGAATTTAATAAAGAAAAAGTTTTCTTGACCATAATTTGTAGGTATTATTTTACTGTGTAATTATAGTTACAAATACCAAACATGTTTTTCTCCGTATATCATACTTAAATCAACAATTATTGTTTCATATATAAACAATGATTTTTAATTTTGTTAAGAGAATTTTACCGTCTTAAGTTTAAACAGTTATATGTTAAATAGAATATAAAATGTATTGATGCGCAAGTAATTTGTTTGACGCTACATAATTTTATTTGAAAAAATTAACATGCCAAAAATAAGGATATTTCCCAAACAACAATGTTATTCTGTTTTTTTGTGCGATAACGAGTGGCATAACTGATCATAATGGTAATATCATTCATGCTTGGTAGCCACCGTTTATTGTCCTCGCGTGCAGAGTGCAATCAGCGTTGATTAACGTCGATCCGACGATTAAGATGCAATTTTCCGAACGCGACGTAAAAAGATTCCCTCCAAATCTCTCCCGCGATCGCCGGTGTCGAGACAGATGTGTCTCTGGAAATCGTTACACGACGTATTACGGTATGCGCTGTCTGCTAATATAGTCAGTGCTAAAGATTTTTCGCGGTCTAACGCCGGACTCGGCATCGGCGACGTTGCGTAGGAAACTTAGATGAGAAGACTCGATAATATCCCCCGTTTCCCGTGCCATGTCTTGCGACGAACACGCGAAGCTGGGAAATCATCCATTGAGATCCTTATCTCGCCGACTATCTCGATCTTATTACCAGTAACGTGCGGCACGAGCGTAAAGTGCAAACTATACCGAAATTAATCACCGATGAAGCCGATAATTCAATAATGAAGCCGTACTGCTGTCGGAGGATCGGCGCAAATAGATAAGCGTGCAAATCGACAGAAAAAGATTGTCTCTTTGTACAGAGGGAATTCTATAGGAAGAGGGAATTCTATAGGAAGAAAATTATTTTACAGCACATTTCTTAACCAACGAACATATCGACATTCTACACGGAGAGAATATAGCCTACAGCTTCTTTTATATACAAATTTTTGTTTAATTTTACTATATTTCCAGTGCAGTAATAGACTCAATACGGTCCATCTTGCTAAAAGACAGTAACTTTCACAAAACAATAAGAATGAGTTTGGTACCAATGTTGTTAATGCTCAGATATTATTTTTATATTAAGTAAATATAGTAAACATAGAAATATAGTAAATTTCGTTGAAAATTTATGTTTCATTAAAAACAATAAAATTTTTTAATAATAATATAATTTTAGCTCCTAAAATATAAGGAAAATATAGTAAAATATAAGTAAATGAAAAGATAGTCAATTATCTTGAAAAATCTTCATCTATTCCCCGATTACAAAATTTTGTATTAATTTTTAAAATCTTCCCCGTATCTTATTATTTTATTATCTTTCCATTTCATGTGTTCATTTCATATGTTACTCATATTTTAGAAAGTGCGGTGAGCGTACTACTAAAAATTTACCATAATTTTTAGCATGACAAAGTCTACTGACGGCTTATTTCTGCATTACTAAAAGACATGATAAAATTGAAAGGAATTTATATGTAAAAAATATATAATATTATATAATATTCTCTGTAAATATAATATTTACTATATAATATTCACTGCGCGTGCAAATAAAGGCATTAATAGACGCATTATTATGTTCAACTTCTGAACTTTCGTGTTTCAAGAAGACACGCGAACGGACACATTGGCGTATCACACCCTCGCATTTTGCATGAAGTATCCGTCTATGGAATTCTCACAGATACCAGGTGTAGAAGTATGAAACCGGAATTCCCCTATAAATGGTGCCAGCGTTCAGTTTAGTGACCGTAAGACCGCTACTGCCGCGCTATTATATTCTCCTAACAGCTGACGAATATTGTCAACAAACATAACCCCAACTTTCATTCTCTAGTATATTTTTGTATAACCTTAAACATGTCACGTTTCGAGCCTACTAACTATGATTTGCGGACAGCATTGATTTTCTGTTATCATTTAAAGAAAACTGCTGCAGAATCACATCGAATGCTTGTCGAAGCTTACGGTGAATATGCTCTTGGTAAATCTCAGTGTTTCGAGTGGTTTAAAAAATTCAAAAGTGGTGATTTTGACGTGAGGAACGAAGAACTATGAACTATGAACTATGAACTATGAACTGCTGAAACCTGGTCAAACCGTCAATACTAATCGCTACCAACAACAAATGATCGATTTAAATCGAACATTGACTAAAAAACGACCAGAATATGCAAAAAGGCAACACAATGTCATTTTGCTCCATGATAATGCCCCATCACATACAGCAAAACGGGTCAAGGAAACGATCGAGTCGTTCAGTTGGGAATTACTACCGCATGCGGCTTATTCTCCAGACTTGGCTCCGTCCGATTATCACCTGTTCGCATCGCTAGGACACGCTCTCGCTAACCAACGCTTCGATTCGTATGAAAATGTGGAAAAATGGCTAGATAACTGGTTCGCTTCAAAAGATGAAAAGTTTTTTTGGCACGGCATTCATAAACTGCCAGAGAGGTGGGAAAAATGTGTTCAAAACAGTGGAAATTATTTTGAATAAAGTATTATTTATCACTTTCGAACAACAGACGTCTTATTTGTATAAAAAAATTCCGGTTTCATACTTCTACACCTGGTAGACCCCTCCTCCCTCACAAAAGCATAGTAATAATAATAATAAATTATTGTCACGTTTATTTTATATCGATGCTCTTCGTTCGTCCTGACCTTACAGCCGAAAGCGTCTCATAGATTGCGCTATCTGCAGGATAACGAGGGACGATTAATTAACGTACTTAACCGCGATCAAAGACCGTTCATTTCGAAAGGCCGCGTTACCGTCACTATTAACCGACACGCTCTTGGTGCAATGTGTTAATTAACGCCGTGAACGGATTTTTTTTTGTCTACAAGCGAGTCTCGCTGACTCGTTCACTCGTCAGTTTCTGAGATCCTCGCGGGAACAAAAGTGATTGGCAATAATAAGCGCTGGCTCAGAGAGAGATAGAGAAATAAAGAGAGAGAGAGAGAGAAGAGAGGAATTCCCTGCTCGTTCCCGCCGATATCGGCATCGAACGAAGCGCGCGCGCGTCTCTAATCGTTGAATCCCTCAGTGGGCGGTCCTGATAGGCACGACCGCGGGAATAACTAAAGACATATGCATCTTGGTGGGCGCAGAGATGCACCGCGCTGCGACGCGAAGAAAGAGGAAATCCACGATGGCGATCTGAGTAACGGCCGCCGCCGT